TATCTCTGGACATGAGCTCATATCTAGACTTGCTCAGGTACTCTGGCTCTTTGCCGATACACTTCACATCTCTTTGTACGGTTCATTGACGACATCAATATATTCTAGTTTGTAACAGATGAACACTTTAGCAGGCGTATGGGATGATCAGAGAAGCCGTTCAGTGTCTTTGTGATAGAAGCGTTCTCTGTGCTTGGTTATTACTCACGTACTGCTGAGCGCGTAATTATGTGGAGCGTAGCATGAGGAGTATTGCTTTGCTGTGCCGTCCGCTGGATACAACGTAGGGAGCAGTTGAGAGTAATGACCACATATAGACTGGGGAGGTCTGTGCGGAGGACAGGCTCTGTCCTACGGATTTTGTGGCCCCTTGCTGGCCACAATTGGGAGAGATTGCGTCGCAGAGGCTTCTTAAAATGTGTGTTGTCATGATCTGAGGATGGAGCAGAGCCTGGAGGCTTGTCACAGATGCAGAGCAGATCTGCCACATGAAATAAGTCAGAGAAGGATTTCCAGAACAGCTGACATTGTTAACTCTTTCAAAGATCTCATCTTCTTCAAAGTGGACCTAGCATCACATTTTAATTGTGTGCCTAAATGTAACACTTCCGGGTATTTATTACCTGTGATCACAGTACTCCCCCCTTGACAATGCCTTTATCTGCTCTTCTTCCTGAAGGATAGAGCCATCTTTGTTCAGGCTTTACCTAGGGTCACCATCTATCTCCTGGACTAGGATGCTGGCTCTGATCATGTACATTCTGGTACCTGTGTAGTTCTTGGCTGTATTCAGGGGCGTACCGAGGCCGGGTGTCACCCCGCTGTGTCGTCATCGTGTGTGAGTGGCCATCTTAGTGATGGATGCCGGCAGAGAGAGGAGGGGACGTTCACCCGGCAGGATGAGGTATGCCGCCGGGTCCCCTCTCCTGACACTGTCGGGCTCTCGGTCTATCACCGAGTGCCTGACTTTTTAGAAGGGTTGACCCCAAAATGACTGCCAGTCATTTTGGTGTCACCCCTGCAATGGTAGAACAGTAGAAAGGCATCATGGCACACTCACAAACCAGCATGTAAAACAACTTGTCTCACCACTAAGGACAATGACAGAGGTTTGGATACACGTCTTCTGCAAAGGATGTGTAAGCCGCACTAAGGCACCTCTTATAGTGCGGTCCTAACTCTAAACTATGAGAGTCTCCATCTTGGAGCACATGGGAATTCACAAATTTCCGATACAGATCAGCCTCTGCTGCACCCCCTTTCACCTTCTGACTTGCTACAAAGTTGCAATGTTGCAGTCTGATCACTGGGGAAGAGTAGACTGAGTAAGGGTTCACGTTGTGTAGCTATCCCACCGCACACCTGATATGCCCCTTGTGGTTCCATGCAGGTGCTGTTGTAAATTGTGGATGGCGCCACATAGATGCAAGTAGAGAATAAGTTACCAGCACACCATCATGTCTTCATCAAAAACACCTTTACTGACCATCATATCATAATAAAGCAATAATATGATTGCCAAAAAAGGCTTTTTTGATGAAGAAATGATGCTGAGCTGGTAACGTATTCTTCATGACTAAGGGCTCGTTCCCACCGGGAGCATTGAGCTGCATTGATCAATGTAAAATCAATGCATAGGCACATAGAAAACAATTCTTATCTATGTGCCCTGTTCACACCATACATGTACGGTGGTGTGTGTTGTGTTGTAACAATGCATCACACCGCCCCTACCTAGGCACACCAGCGGACGGGCGCTATATCAGGACATAATGTGCCTCCAACTGGTGTGATGAAGCCCTAAATGCCCCTTGGCCTGCAGCAGACTGATGACATCATCTCACCCTAGGCAAAGTCAATAGACTGGAGGACTAGGTGGACTTATTAACATTTATGCTAATGCTTTATATTATGATGTGAAGAATTATGCGTGCAGGCTTGTAAAATTATTGAATAGCCTTGTTAATGCAAATCCACAATAGTTTTTCAAAATCAGCATCTGTACTAAACAAAAGAAAACCTTCCCTATGCTATTT